AAAGCCTCCTTTGTGTCCGAGGACTTTAAGAATTGCTTTAATTTAGGCTTGGTTAGACAACTCTTAAGAATTGTCATCCCTAAACATCTGGAGAACACTCAATCATTCAATTTTTATTATAGTCATAGACCACCATACTGGAGGACAGTCATTTGTAAGAAGCTGGTCCAACTGTACATGAAGATGCCTATAGCAGTGTTTCTCAACCTTTAAGACGTGTGGAACTTCAACTCCCAGAATGGCTGGCTGGGGAATTCTGGGAGTTGAAGTCCACATGTCTTAAAGTTCCCAAGGTTGAGAAACACTGACCTATAGCTTGAAGGCATCTTCCTCATTCTCATTGGTTCTCCACTGGGTGCTCCTGAGGTCAAAAAAGAGGCAGGTGCCACAAGCACAAGGGTCTGGAGTGAGGGCATCTCATTGTAGAAGGTTCTGCTTTGCCACAATGACTTTTTAGTACCACACACAAAAGACATATCCTTTTAACTTTTAAAAATTGCTCTAGTTGGAGCACTGCAGCTCAAATTTCATCTGATATGTTTCTTTATAAACTTTAAAAAAAGGTTACCAAGTATTTGGTCACATAGTATGCCAGCAAGTGCTAACTAGTGGCTAAGACAATTAGAATCCATTTAAGAAATAAAACAGGATGTTATTGTCCATATGACATACTAAATTTATACATACATACATATGTATACACACACACACATTTTGAGTATTATATTCAGGGATGTCCATAGGGTGTGGTTTAAAAAGTCAAAATGGTGACTACAATGCACAGTGAAAAGACATGGAGCTTCAAATATAATGTTGTAGCCTCCATCTTGACTTTTTTGACCATATCCTGCAGACACCTGATTATTTCAGTTATAGTGTTGTTCCATCTTTTCTTCAAGTTAATTATAATTTTTATAAAATGCCTTAGGATTGCTTTGTATCTTTTTTTTTTTTAAAACATAACTGGCTCAGATTACCAACTAGTCTGAAGTATTGCTCTATTTTTAACATACAAGAAAATCTTTTTTGTCTAAAGAATGAACAGTGCTTTTTTTTTTTTTTACTCTAAACTTGAAATAGTTCCTAACCTGAGAGGATCTAAAACTGTTTCAATGGTGTTGCTTCCCATGTATTTGAGACATGCAGTTGACTGCCAGTTTTCAGGTCCTGGAAATGATTTTTGTTTTATGAGGTACTGTTCAAAAGAGGAATTGAAATAGGTCTTAATTAGAGGCACAATTATTATACAGATTTTATACACTCTTCAGAAGTTAAAAATTACGTGAAGTACATTTGAATAGCTGCACACTGTTTTTTCTTTGTTGTATGTTTTTGTATGTTTATCACTTCCGAGGCTGCCCCACTACATATCTGCAGCATTTCCAAGGGAGTTAAAAATAGCCTGACAGAAAGCAACTTGTGTAATGGGATTTTTGTCTTCAACTGTTTCACTTCAGGTAATATGAAATGAACCAGTTTGTGCTGAATTATGCATAAAACCACCCTCATGTTCCCATTGTTAATTTTTTCATAGGCTAGCACTTAAAGACACTTAGACAACTTTAATAGCTGAAGCCCTTTCTTATCAAATATTTTTAATAAGAAAATTATTCAATAATAAATATCATTAAATATTATTTTTTATCCGCATTCAGTCGTGGCTGATTCTGCGGCGGCTTTCCGGCCGCGGCCCCGCAGCTTTCTATGCCAGGGGGGGTGGGGGGGGGGTGTTGTTTCCCCCCTCCCCTTTAGGGGGCCACACGGGGG